TTTAGAAAACGCGTTCAATTTTTAACTTGTAGTTGTAAACACTCAAAAATCGTTAAATTTTGTAAACATTCTTGATGGCACGGTTTTCGACAGATGTTTCATTTACTGATAGTTCTTGTCGACCTCCCGGACGACTTGGCTGCCATTACAAAAGTGGGCGTATTACGATGGGGCATCGCTATTTTTAAATTTTGGTATGTATTTAAATGTCAACATAGAGTGCGTACTACGAAAGCCTATTAGGGCCAAATTCATTGATAATATTTTTTATTTTAAAGTTGTAATTACAAGTTGTAATAACATATTCCCTTCATAAAAAATCACCTCGTATACCCTACAAATCCTATAAATCCCTTTATATTCCCTTCATAAAAAATCACCTCGTATACCCAACAAACCCTTCATATTTCCTTCATAAAAAATCACCTCGCATACCCACCCACACCCAACAATCCCAACAAACCCTACAAATCCTTCATATCACCCAACAAACCCTACAAATCCTTCATATTCTCTTCATATCACCCAACATATTTAAAAATAGGATGAGTTTAATTTTAAAACACGAACAACACAAATTCGAGACTGATGATTATTCAGGAGACGGATTCATCTCAGCACTAACTTCCCTCATTCCCAAAGTATCTAGCTTTGTTTCAAACAACAAATCCCTAATTTCCTCCGAAGCTCAAGCTCTTGGGTCTGTGGCAAAAGCAGGAGTTAGAATACACGATGCTGTCAAAAAATCTGACGAATTGAAAGAATTACAGCAACTACGAAACAAGAGAATAGAACAACAAGCTTTAGATAAAAAAACAGGAAAAGGTTTTAAAGTTATAGGATAAAAATGTCTATGATAATTGCACAAAGTCCTGAAACTTATTTTGGTTCAGATATTCAAAAATCATTAGGATATCTTCCAGGATTCCCTTGGGCTAAATACTCCGGAGAAAAACATCTTCCAGGTCATAATTATACGGGTCCAGGTACTAGGTTAGATTTACGATTAGACCAAAACGATAAACCCAAACCAGGTGAAGAACCTGTCAATAGAGTTGACGCTGCTGCACTTAAACATGATATATTATACAGAAATAAAGACCTCAAGTTTAGACACGAGGCAGACAAACAAATGATAATCGAACTTGAAAATATTCCAAATCCAACATTCAAAGAGAAAATGCAAAGAGCACTGATTATAAAACTGTTAAAAACAAAGATGAAATAGGGGATGGGATTGGCAGATGAAATTCATAAAGAATTCAGAAAAAACAAACATTATTTAAAAGTTAAAGTATTTGATAAAGATGAAATATGGTCATCAGATTTAATTAATATGCCAGTTGAAAGAGGATTTAAATATTGTTTAACAGTTATAGATTTATATACACGTTATGCTTGGGTTATTCCTCTCAAAAACAAAACTGGAATATCTGTCAAACACTCATTTGAAACCATAATGAAACAATCTGACAGACGACCCCAAAAGTTATGGGTAGATAAAGGGAGCGAATTTTATAACAAAAATATGAAATCTCTGGGGTTTGAAATTTACAGCACTCATAACGAAGGTAAGGCTGTAGTTATTGAAAGATATAATAGAACTATTCAAAAAGTTCACGGAATTAAAATCTCAAAAATGGATTAAAATATTACCAGATGTTGTAGATGAATACAATAACAAAATACATTCATCTATAGGTGTCACGCCAGCACAAGCATCAAAAAATCCAAATATTATAAGATCAATTAACACACAAAGTAACTATGAAAATGAGATAAACAATTTAGATATTAAACCCAAATTCAAGGTCGGAGATCGTGTTCGTATTTATAAATATAAAAGTAAATTCGAAAAAGGATACGTTGGTTATTGGACAAACGAAATATTTATCGTAGATAAAGTAAATAGCACAGCACCTCCAACATATGAATTAATCGATCAAGACAAAGAACAAATCATAGGTAGGTTTTATCAAAACGAACTTCAAAAAACTGACTTTTAAAAATTACTTAAAAATGAATACTTTTAAACAGTTGCTTGATAAATATGGAACTGATACAACCACAAACTTTCAACTCATGAGATGGGCAAACGACTTAAATATATCACCGTTTTATTATTGTATGCGAGATGAAATAAATAATCTCAAAAGTAAAAAAGGTAAATTCTATGCCATAACAAATATTCACACTTCAGATCAAACAGGAGTTCATCACTCTGCCTTATACAAAGAATCTTTTAATAACTTTTATTTTTTTGATTCTTTTGGATTAGAACCCACTGAAGAAATAGTTAAATTAACTAATCAACCAATCAAATGTTCTACCTTCCAAATACAAATGCCGGGTCAAAAGTTTTGTGGACAACTTTCACTTTGGGTTTTATATCAATTAAGTTTAGGAAATCAATTTGAAGAGATTATAATAAATTTAACTTAATAAAAATGGCGAACAAATTTGGATTAGGATCTACTCCTTTAGCAACTAAAAAACTTAACACAACAGCATGGATAAATAAAGCTAAACCTTATTTTGTTGATCAAATTGGAGACACTCTTCAAGGTGATATCGATATGAATAATTTTACCATAACTAATTTAAAGTCACCCGAAAATGATAATGATGCTGTTCACAAGAAATATGTACTAGATCAAATAAATCTAATTGAATCAGGAATAGATGAAGATCATTTAAAAGACAAAATAAGTGATGTGAAAAGATTCTTCAAACGACAACTGAATAATAAAGATTTTATTGATGATACTAAATTACAACAAGAGGTGACAAGTTTGAAAAGTTTTATTCAACAACAATTGGTAAATGTAGTGGATAAAACTCAGTTACAAAGTTTAAGTAAATTAATATCTCAATTAGATGATAAGATTGCAAAGCAAAAATTAGATCTTAAACAACTAATAGATAACATTGCACCAGGTGTAAATGAAGATACATTACAACGTGAAATAACTTCTTTAGAAACTAAAAATAACACTGAATTACAAAAAGAAATAAACAATATCAAAACCTATATTCAACAACAAATACAAGATAGCGAACAACAGATAACTACAATTAATAACGAAGTTTTAAAACAGGAAAAAAAGATAAACATATTAGAAAACAAGGAAAATAAACCAGAGTCATATAGTTTCAGGATTCCATTTGAGTCAGGAAGATTCAAAAAAGTTAGCGCTGATTATGATATTTACCCAATTTATGAGTTAAAAACATATGGATTTATAGTAAAAGTAAAAGTAGATACTTATGTAAGGGGAAACCCTGAAGATATTTTTAAGATAGGTCTCACCTATCCTGGCGATCCAAATACATTTTATTTCAGGGAGAGAGCTCTAATTGAAATTATTTTTCCTATGAAGGCAAAAGTTGATTCAATATTCTTTATACAAGAATCTAATACTGGGATTTTTTACGCTCGTAAAATTCTTCAATTTATCAATGATGGGGAATATGTAGAAAATAAAACATTGGAAAGCAACGACGAAAATAGCAATGTTGATCATTTGTATGAAATTAAAACAAATGGACAATATATAGACACCTTCAAAATGTCAATCATATCAGATTATAAAAATGATATAATTGCATTGAAAAGTTTTATTATGATATTGACTCCGGAATTACCATCAATGAACATTATTAGAAAGCCAACACCAAATGAAGAGAAACAAGAAGGAATATTCGAGTTTATACGAACAACAGACTTTGAATATGTAAAACTTTATTTTGAATATGATGATAAATATACATCAGTTGATGTTCATAAAAGTCAAGAAAATAAAGTATTTAATGTAACGATAAATAAACTTCTAATTAATATATTTGATTGTACTTTTAATATAACAATTGATTATGAAACACTAAAAATTTCACCTTATTTAAACAAGAAACCAAAGCAAAAAACATTGTTAGTACGCGTAAACGTCAGTATTTTAAGTTCTTCAATCATGAAAATTAATCCTCAAGGAGGTGGATCTTACGAAATTTATAAACCTTTTCCAATATCAGAAGTCCATTTGATTTCTACATAATTTCATAATATAAAAATGGAAGACCGACAACAATACATGATAGAAAAACAAGAGGAATTAAAAGTAAAACTAGAACAATATAATAAATGTAAGAAAAGATGGAGTAGAATTGATTCTGCTTTCAAAGCACTAAGTGTATTACTAACAGTAGGAACAACAGTTGCAACAGCAATAACTGGTGGATTAATGGTTCCAGTACTTATCCCTACTGTATTAGCCACAATAACTGCTGTTCAAACTTCATCTTGTGGTGTGATTGCTATAGGTTATACATCCAAACGAAAATGTTATTATAAAAAGAAAACAGATATCTTAAATGCATATCTTAATAAGTTGTATATTTTTTTTGAAAGATCAAGAGAAGATAAGATCATTAGCGTTGAAGAGTTGGAAGAATTTAATGAAATTTTGGATGAATTTAATACACAAATATCAGCAATAAAAGTTAAAAAGACCTCTTAAAAATAGGTAATTAAAAAAAATATAAAAAAAATATGAGTAACATTGAAAGTATAAACGATGAAACATTCATAGAAAACGTGCTATTTACCGATCTTATCAAGGCTATTACTCATATTTTTTTAACATTTAAAGGTCAAATTGAAATAGATGGAAGTATAATCGAGAATGGAAATCACAAACAATTCATGAGCCTTCTTGGGTTCAATGCCAAAACTTTTCAAAAAATATTAACAAATATGGATACAAAATCTGACTGCTCGGATTGGTATTTTACAGGGAATATAATTTTTCGTAGAAACAATTTTAAAGAAATAAGAAGATCAAACGCTGGTAGAGGAACTGAACTACTTAAAAAGATAAATGAATATAAAGGTAGAAATTGTTATATACCAACAGATGGTAACTGTTTTATCAAATGCGTAAATCATGTTTTGAAAAAAGATTTAAAAAATAAATTTCAAACATTCATTAATACATTTCCAAAAGCGAATAGAAAAGGAGTAATGACATCTGCTAGAATTAATAAATTCAATGAGAAATGTAATACTTCATTTCAAATTTACACTCCCGAAAATAGAAATTTACGCCCCAGAGAAGTAAACAATGAATTAGATTGGGTTTTATATTTACATAACTCACATTTCTGTCTTATAAGAAGAAATCAAAAAAGTTTAGGGATTAAAGAAATAGAAGATAATTATGAACAGGTATGGAAAACATGTAGAGATGATAATGCTGTAAAACAAGTATCACCTTTGAAACTAAACGTATTTCCAAATATGAGTGATGATACTTTATTCGCTTGGGATTGTGAAACATATTCAGAAAGTGAAACGCGTAAAGCAATTCCTTATTCCTGTACGTTACTTAATTTAGAAAAACTAAGAAAAAAGTTAGAGATGATCCAAAATAATTTTCCAAATCTAAATCCCACTGATAATATTCCAGAAGCATTTTATAACAAACTAATGAATATAGTAGAAATATTTGTAGGTACAGATTGTATAGATCAAATGTTGAAATATTTAGGTCAATATGATAAAAAAAGATTAACATTGGTTTCTCATAACGGTAGTGGTTTTGATAACTGGATCATAATTAAAAACGTAAAGAAACTAACGCAATGTCCACTAATAACACCCAGAGGAATTCTATCTTTACCGTTATCTAATCCATACACTGATGAAGATTTACAGAAAAGATGGAAACGACAGAAAGATATAAAAGGTAACTCCAATTATTTACAACATATTAATTTCACATGCTCCTATCAACATGAAGTATCTAGTTTAGCAGCATGGGGAAAGTCGTCTAATTTACCAATGATTTTGAGAAAGATTGCTGATGTAGACATTGCAAAATATACGAAAGATAACTGGGAAATTTTAAGACATGAATGAGAGCCATATGCAAAGCGAGACACTCTATGTCTTGGAGCATGCTTGATAAAATATAACAAAGTTATGAAAGAAGTTGTATTCCAGACAGTTTCCAATAATCTAACGGCTCCATCTCTATCTTTAAAGGGTTGGTATTATTTGTATCATTACGATAAAGAAATGGTTGAAGAGACATATTACGAAAGCACAAGACTCGTTCCAAAACATACTGAAAAACAAAATATAGAAAAAGTTTACTCTCACACTAATCCTTTTATAAGACATTTCATAAGACGATCTATTAAAGGAGGAAGGGTTTCTGCAAATCGAAAAATATTTACCACTGATAAACTCAATGAAATTTGTAATGTGCTAAAGGAATATACACAAAGTGGACAAAGTGAATATACACAAAGTGATGACGAGAACATAATTGATTTATTTAAAGAATATAGTAAAAGTGATAAAGATAAAACAGAGGTTAATTCAAAACTTAAAAATATAAAATGTTCTAAACTAATGGCGTTTGATGCTAATGGTTTGTATGCTTCTGCTATGTCAGATTTAGATAGTGAATATCCCAAAGCAGAAAGTGGTAGACCGTTTTTACCAGAAGAAGAAGAAGAATTTGTAAGACTCTTCAATGAACAAAACTTTAGACCCAAAACTGCTATTTTAACAGTTTGGTTTGAGTACCCCAAAAACATGTTCTTCCAACCGATACCATCTAAAGATAAAATTAGTTTTAAGAACAAAGAAGGAAAAAATGAAACTGGCACTAAAATCAGATTCAGAAATGGTTTCTGTTATGACGTTTTAACATCGGTCGATATTCAAGAAATAGTAAAAGCTGGTGGACGAATTATTAGAATATTAGATGGTATAGTATACGAACAAAACTTTAGAACTCCTCCCTATAGAGACTACATTTTAATTTTGAGAGATCTAAGAAATCAATTCAAAAGGGATGGTAATATCGTTGGTAGTAATTGCATGAAATTATTAGGTAATGCCCTGTATGGTAAATCTATTCAGAAGGATATATCTTCATCAAAACATCTATGGAGTGAAGTTACTTTAAAGGCTAACTTTGATTCACATGTTAAACACTATGAAAAAATAAATGATACTCAATACATCGTTGATATAGAAGAAGAAGAAAAAGAAATAGAAGCTCCTAAATCTACCACACGACTTACCCCTAGTCATTTGGGATCATTCGTATTATCTCACAGTAAAAAAATAATGAACAATTTTATTCATGTAATAGATGGGTTTTATCAACCGGAAATATACTATACCGATACTGATAGTTTATACATTTCATCTAGCAATTGGGATAAATTAAATGAAGCTGGATTAGTATCCGAAAATGAATACTGTAAAGGAAAGAATGATTACGGTGATGGTGGAATTATATTCGGTTAATATTTAGCACCTAAAGTCAAATACAATATCATTCTAACTTCAGATGGTGTTTTAAAAGAAAAGAAAACATTTAAAGGTTATTCTAATGATAAGATAACTGTAGACGATTATATTCGGTTGGCTAGTGGATATGATATATCAAATGAATTTAAGAAAAAATGGGAAAAAAGTTTCACAAATGGAGTAGTTATTCCAAGGGATGACGATAAACAAAAGAAAGTTTTTAGACATTATTTGAATCTTGTCAAGAGAAAGCCACCAAATAGTGAAGGAATTATGTATCCTTATTGTAATAAAGATGAAATGATTTTGGATGAAAACTATGAATTTGATGATTTCGATTATCTAACTATTCAAGAAGAGAATGAAGATTTGTTACTTAATTTGTTTTAAATGAAGTTGAATAACAATTTCTTCGTTTCCAAAGTCAATAAACCTATTTTTACCATCTTTGATTTCCAGATTTATATCTTTGATCATAAACGAATTAAGTGGTAAATATGTTGTTTGAAATGGTTTTTCTATAATTCTATATCCAATAGGAACAGTGAATGTTGGAAGACTGTAAATAATCTGACGTTTGTATTTATTGAAAAATCCACCATTTATCAAATTACAGTGAATATTAATTACATCAATATCATTTTCGATATTAGCTTTATTTGGGGCTAACGTGGACTTCGTATATATTTGTTTATCAAAGCCGAGTAACGCATTCATCGAATTTTCTACGTTGAAATCAACTTGACTCTTATTTCTTAATATCAATTTTATTTTGTTCAGATTCAAATTACCTTCGAATTCAATATTGTTTTTACCATTTTCACTTCCTCCATATTCAGATAAGTATTCGTTTATGGCTATGTATTCATAGCTTCCTGGTGGTAAGCTTATGGTTTTGAATGTAACTCCATTATCTGTTGATATTTTTATTTTGTTATTATCTTCGTTGATATTTCTAATGGAATTGTAAACAGAGAAATGTTTTAATCCCAATTCATATTCTTGATTACGATCAAGTTCATACTCATAATCTAGAGATAATTTAATGTTTGAGTTGTTTGAGGTTATAACGAATAATTGTTCTTTATTTGACATCTTTTTTTATTGGATATTTTTACTACAATATTTTTTTACTGAATATTCTTCATAACATTTTTATAGTCAGTTTTACTAATGATCTGTTTCTCTAGGAGTCGTTTTAATATACAATTCACTTCATTATATTGTCTGTTTGATCGATGACCTTCTTTCATTGCTGCTAATATTATTTGTAATCTATTAACCAATTCTTCGTTGTCATCTGGTAAAAAAATTACACCATCTCCTGTATGTCCCAAAAAAGCATCGATTTCATCTATAATATCATCATTGTAATTGTCATCATCATTGTAATTGTCATCGCGTAATTGGCATCAGTGTACTGATTATCATCAGTGTACTGCTCTAATTCCTTTTCCAGTTTTCTTAATCTTAAAGTTTTTGGTCCTCCTCTTCTAGTCGATTTAAGAATATGTACGTATGAATTTAAATCGTCAAAACTATAACCTTCATCATACCCATTCAAAAGATTAATTATACCGGGTGTTAAATCATATATACCTTCTATTCTGTCAATCTTAAATGTTGGGTTTCCTTGATTGAAACGTACCCTACAAACGTACGTTAAGAATCAGTCCATCTTGATCAGTGGTTGGTTTAATTGTTTTCGGTAGAGTTGGATCTGGATTTGAAAAATAATGTTTTATATCATCTAATGTCCTGATTATGATTTCACCAACTTCAATGGGATATTCTATTTGAGGAAGTTCTTGAATTTGTTGTTTAGGTGTTGCTTCTAATTTCTTTTTAATATCCTCTTGACTTTTTAATATTGGTTTAAATAAAGTTTGTAGATTTTCCGTTAATCCAATTTGTTCTAATTTGTTTTTTTCAACTTGTGACTTTACTTTATCCTTAGATTTGATATATTGTCTATTTCGTTTTATAATATAATTCCAATCAGCCATTTTTTATGTATATAATATTATATAGTAAAAAAATAAAAATTTAACAGATATCTGTCATAACTCTTTCACCTGCAGGTTTTCTGGTATTAACAAATACATATCCATGTTCCTCTGGGTTTCTCCATTGTGCTTTACAAACTTTTTTAAATATATCTCTATCCATTCCGTGATTTATAGACTGAATAATTTGAGATAAATCTTTGTCGTTTAATTCGAACAATAAAAAACAATTTGCATTCTTTCTGATAAACATAGCGTCCATTCCATAAAAGGATTGGGATTGGTAAATACAGTGACAATTGTGATGTCTTCCTTTCGTGAAAAATTCTTGTTGAACAGTTTGAGTTCTTTGAGCCACACAGTCGTCAAAGACTATTAAGTTCTTTCGATTACTATCAATTTTAGACAAGTCCAGATCATTGACATTTTTAGTTAGAAACACTTTTATGTCGGTTGGATTTAAAGATGGATTCTTTTCTTTTATGAAGCTCTCTAAGATATCTTTTATTTCCATCTCATCGTTGTCTTCTTAATATTGAAATATGTCTTGAACGTCTTCTTTTGGTAAATATTCTAAAGCTTTAAGGAATTGATAATATGATTGATCTGGTGTTGTTGTGTAGATATATAGAGAATTGAAATCTAAAAGGTTTGGTGTTGTCAACATGTTAAAAGTAAGATGAGTTTTTCCACAACCAGAACTTCCGCAAATACACATCAGCATTGGGTTACTAGGAAATATTTCTGAATGTTTGAATTTCTTTCCCATTTTTTTATGTCTATTTATTTATTGTTATTTTATTCATTTTATTCATTTCATTCTATCTATCTACACCAAAAATTACACCGTCTCCTTTATACTTTGAAAGAAAGATTCCTTCTCCAGAATGTATGTTCTTAAAAACAATGGCATTACCTTTGTGTTTGACTTTCATTTCTCCTGTGTCAATTTTGTCTATTAGATTGCTCAGTCCCTGTTTAACAGTTTTCTTGGTTTCTTCGCTAAATCTATTTCCAAATTCTTTAACTGTTCCTAATATATCCGATACTCCTGAACCCGCAGCTATCTTTTCCATTTCCATATTATGTCTACGTTTTTCACTTTTTTCAGCCTCAGATGCTTTCTTTGCGTTGACTGCTGATGCTATACCAGCAGCTCCACCAGCAGTTGCACCAGCTGCAGCCAGGCCAGCAAATATCAAAGGTAGGAAGGGTAGAAATCCGCCTTCCTTTACATTCTTGTCAATTCTTTCCAAGTCTATATCATCTCTAATTTTACAATGCTTATACTTATCGATCAGCTTTTTAGATATTTTGACCTTTTTACCATTGTAAGTTATTGTAGTAGGTGATTCCGCTTCGATAGCTTCTATTATTCGTTTTACTAATGTTTCCGGCTTCATTTTTAAGGGGTATTTTTTATAATTATTTATTCTATACGAATCATCCGTCTATCGGATATTTTTATTATGTCTTTTGCTTCTTCCAATAATAAACAGTAACCGGTCACATCTCCTTGTGTTTTTTCGATATGTATATTTATATTAACTCCTGTTTTAAAAAGATCTTCTTGATGAGCTGATAGATCAAAACAAAAGATTAGGTGATTGATTGCAAAATCTACATAATCAAACTGAGGTGGATTTCCAAATAATTCACACATATTTTTATAGTTTCTATACAGTTCATTATAATCTTTTGTGGATGGATTAATTGTTAAAGGTTGATTAGGATAATTCTCATTGTTCAATCTTACTTGAACTTTGCGGATTATAGGATCTTGAGTTTGGTTCATTGCTACTCTAAAGATATTGTTGTTATTTGTCTGAGAGTCTGGTAAATTCTTAAAACCAACCATTAAGTATCTTGCTGGTTTAGTGGTGTTAGTAATTGGCCATGTAGTGGACTCCCCGGTTAAAGTCATGCTGCCTATCGTGTTACGGCGAAGAAAAGCTATTTCAATATCCTTTGTCATCATGTTAAATAATCTAGTTTCTATTTCTATAGAAGGAGTAATCATCGGTATGTATAATTGGAGATTCGTAATTTCTAATTTGGCATCGGACCCATTTTCACCAAAGAATATCTTATCATTATTGATTTCTCTTTGTAGATGAATTTTATATGGTAATCCTATAGAAACCTTTCTATGTTCCAACAGACCAAAGAGGGGATATAACTTCCAATTTACGTAATTACCCCACCTATTATTCTCAATAACATTGTTGTATTGAAGAACCCGATTTTCAAAGCCAGTATTTCGAGCTCGTGCAACTCTTTCCAGCGTGTTTCGAGCAATAATTCTCATTCTAGCTTCATCAGCCTCATTTGCAACAGTTCTGACCGGTTCTTTTAAAACTTCTCCGTCACCGACATCAGGAATCCACCCCGAAATGGAATCGTAGTCTTATGGATATAGAACTGTTTTCTACATTATGTCAAATTCTCCAGGATGTTTGATAGTTTCAATCGGGTTGGATCCTGCTTCCATCCCAATCTCTGAAAACATATTTGGGAAGAAATTGTTTTCTAACGTTGTGTTGGTTTGTGGAACTTGATTCTGAGTTCCGTCTTTGATTTTGAAATCACATCTGAAATATGCATCAGACAATAGTAACCAATTTGATAATGAATTAATCTCGAACGTAACCCTACCCCCATCATTCAATTGAGATTTGGAACCAACGGTTGGCGAGATGATTATATAATCCTCCTTTTTCTTGTTAAATGAATAACGAATTGGATCATATAATTGAAAGATTGGATCTAGTTTTTTATCTGCCATTTTTTAAGGGGCAATTTTAGGTTTTTTTCAATCACTAATATAAGACACTTTTTTTGTTTACAAATAAGTCATTTTTATTATACAACAAAATAACAATTCAAAAAAGGACATAATACATATGTTGGGTGATATGAAGGGAATATGAAGGGTTTGTAGGGTTTGTTGGGTGATATGAAGGATTTGTAGAGTTTGTTGGGTTTGTTGGGATTGTTGGGTGTGGGTGGGTATGCGAGGTGATTTTTTATGAAGGAAATATGAAGGGTTTCTTGGGTATACGAGGTGATTTTTTATGAAGGGAATATAAAGGGATTTATAGGATTTGTAGGGTATACGAGGTGATTTTTTATGAAGGGAATATGAAGGGTTTGTAGGGTGTGGGTGGGTATACGAGGTGATTTTTTTATGTTTTTGAAATATTTATGCTTTGTATCTATAAGTTCTATTACTACTAATAACAAGTTTCTAAAGGTGTAATTACAAGTTGTAAAGGTGTAATTACAAGTTTGTAAAGTTGTAATAACAAGTTTATAAAGGTGTTATCTGTTACTACCCCCCTGTCACTATACACTCTCTGCCACAATACTATCTTTATAATACTATCTTGTAATTACAACTTAGTAAAAATCTCAAAAATTAATTTCAACCGCGGTTGAAATGTATTACCACCACGGTTGAAATGTATTACCACCACGGTTGAAATTAATTACCACCACGGTTGAAATTAATTACCACCGCGGTTGAAATTATTTCAACCGCGCTGGTAAATAATTTCAACCGCGGTGGAAAATAATTTCAACCGCGGTTGAAATTAATTTTTGCGATTTCACTTTGAATTTTTTGTGTTTTTCATAATATTTTGGAAAATTTAATTTTTCATGTTTTAACTATTTTTACGATTTTGATTAATTATTGTTTTTATGAATTTTTGTGATTTTTATGTATTTTGTGTCATCTTTTTAATTAAAGTTTCCCTCCATTCCTTCTATTTTTTGTCGGTTTCTCAAATGTTTACAATTTCAATTCCTGTTTTCTGCAGTTCTTCTGCTCTCAAACCACTGAGACACGTCGAAAAATAAAAAAATTGTAAATGTCCCCAATGGGCCACGGTACAAATGAAAGCTTTTAAAAATAGTCGTTTTTTTGATGTAAAATGTTTTGATTCCCGAATTTGTGCATGACCTTTGGTGCAATTTTAGTTTCGATTTTTTTGTCTTTTCTGACCCAATTCGGACAGTTTGAGAATTCGGAATTTTACACCCACCGCCCAAGAGTCCAATATTTAGATTTCGGGGAAGGGAGGGCTTGATTCTCCCAAATGTACAGGCCTAGGGTGGAGCAGACACTTTATTTAGAAAATAGGATTAAGGGTCTTGATATTGGGTTTTCTTCTGTTCTGATTCTGAAATTAGAAAAAATAACTCGCCAAATGGGCGAGAAGTGTAGTATCTGTTATGCACTGATTGTTTTCCAAAATATTATGAAAAACACAAAAAATTCAAAGTGAAATCGCAAAAAATTAATTTTGGTCATATAACAGTTTTTTTCTTAATATTTCATGTTCACTGTGCTAATTTATAATGATTTTATATGAATTGATATTTTTGATTATTAATAACTCCGAAACCCTTCATCCCATTGTTGCCAATTAGGAACTCGAGTGAGATCTCATCGATATATACATGCATACCTAGTTTCATCTAGGTTGGATAAAAACTGTAATCTCTATCGTGCCTACAATCAAAATTGGACGCGTTTTACTAAGTCAAGGGCAATAACTCTGAAACCGTTCATTCGATTATTATTATTATCGAACTTGACTGAGATCTCACCAATACGTATACATACCAAGTTTCATGAAAATCGGATAAAAACCGTAGTTTCTATCATGCCTACAAGGAAAATTTGATGTGTTTTTACTACGCCAAGGGCAATAGCTCTGAAACAGTTCACCCGTTAATTACCAATTTCGAACTTGACTGAGATCTCATCAATACATACATGCAAACCAAGTTTCATGAAGATCGTCCATGTGGGCGTATAAAAAAGGTCAGTCTGAAAGCATGGTTTATTTATTTCATACCTTGACTGAAATCTAAGGACTTAGCTACAGATACAAAATTCTATGATACAAGAATATGGTGTCAATTGCAGTCAAAGGTTGAAACACTGTGATAGAGGAGGAGGGTCAGGGAGCATCTTACTCCTTGCAGTTAGCCTGTTCCCTCATTCACATTGGCATCAAGTTATAGAGGTATTTTGTATTTTAACATTTGTAAAAGAGGTATTGTGTTTTAGGCAAAAGCAATATTAAACATAAGTGCATAACATTTAATTCTGAATACGATTGACCTCCATACTCGTGGACCTTTCCCGAGTGATCGACATCAACAGACCCGACTGCTATGGGCCAGTATTAAAATTGACACTGACTTGAGGTAAGATATTCATCGCCGACTCAACGAAGTACCTCTTCAAAAACAAAGGCGATATTTAACCCTGCAAAGGCAGTTAGCTGCTGAAAGGAAGGCCACGAAAGACCTTGAACAAGAATTACACGAGACAAGCCGCAGACCAGAACTACATGCAGTCGAGAATGGATTTGAACCTGCTGCCTCCAGCACAGTCCCGCCTCAGGTGAGCATGAAAGATTACTCCAATCACCAATTGTTCGTGAGATGCAAAGACAATCATGTCAAAGCCTTGCAGATTGTTGACTTTCTTTGGGCAGACTCTGTTCCTCAGTACAGTTCCTACTCCTTTGATACAGATAGTATTGAACTCCGCTAGGAAATGGAGTCTCCGTTGAAGAATGGGGGTATACTATACCATCAACGAAATTTTATTGGATAGAATCACTTGGATACTGCAGATTATTTCCTATATCCGGTACACGTCCGTATAGTATTCGGTCCTATGATAAGGAATAGAGAGAGCATCAAGCATTAGAAAATTTCGAATGGAGCACACATCGTCAAGGTATACGGGAATTCCAATTGATTCTTAAACACAACCATCCAACTATCCGAGCTTTTCAAGATGCCAATATCAGCGATAATGTTGATTGTAGAATGGCGAAATTGTGCATTGTCTCATTCAGCTATTGGACATACCCGCATACCCATCATACACGATGCTACAGATCCGAGGGTCTTTCCCTTAATTCGTATAATCTGATACTTCATGGACTTAGTTGATTAAGTCAGTCAGTTTCTTAGCTAACCTAACGAGCGCTTATCGGTCAGTGTTATGTAGCAAGGCTGATTGTCGGTTGACAGGATTACAGTGGACTTTTAACTCTTCTCGAGTTCGACCGCAAGCTACCCTTTGGATATTCTCGCAGTCCAATGATCTTTAAAAGGATAACATCTAGCGTGTGTTATATTATGAAAAATCGTTACAATGTGACTTGCATTGTGTACCTTGATGACTTCCTGATTATTGAATTTGATTAGTGCAACTTTTACTAATAATATTACGCGACTTGGGATTCAATTTTAACTGGTTCAAAAATAAAACTGGATAAAATTCCTTCGTATTTTCAATGGGTCGGTAAAATTCATCGATTCTAAGCGTCTAACTACTGTGTTTACCGACGGGTCTTCTGGTGGTTGTTACCGATGCTACCGATTCAGAGCTGGACTATTAAGAAACGGGAATTAGGGGCCGTGCTAAACTGTAAAACGCCCGTTATACCTACTTTGCTTCTTAAAATCCGCGCGGCCTTGGATTTACACAACCATAACAACAAAATATTTAGGGCAGCCTGTTTGCTTGCCTTTTTAAACGCCCACATAATAATGTGGACGTATATTGCCGTCGCTCCTGTCCGTCGGTCCGTCAATATTTCTTGTGATCACAACAGAGACTACAGTTTGTATTTGATTTTAATGAAATTTAATGTTTTAATGTATATTGATGAGATCTTGGTCTAGTTCGATTTTGACGCTTTTTAAATGAACAGTTTTTGAGTTATTGCCTTTGACTTAGAAATACCGCAACTGATTTTAATGAAATTTGGTGTGATCATTTATACTATCTTGGACAAGTTTCGAACTTGATGATTGTTTGATGAACGGTTTTTGAGTTATTGCCCTTAACTTAGGAAAAGCGTGACGCAACTGAGACTACAATTTTCAACTGATTTTAATGAAATCGAAATATTGCAAAAACACAATAGAGACTAGTTTTCATCTGATTTTAATGAAATTTGATGTGGTCATATATCTTGATGAGATCTTGGACAAGTTCAAACTTGATGATTTTTCGATGAACGGTTTTTGAGATATTGCCCTTGACTTTGGAAAAACGCATCAAAATATTGCAAAAACACAATAGAGACTAGTTTTCATCTGATTTAAATGAAATATTGTGTGATCATTTATATTGATAATATCGTGGTCAAGTTCAAATTTGTCGATTTTTCGATGAGAGGTTTTTGAGTTATAGCCCTCGACATAGATAAAATGCTTCAGAGACTACAGATTTCATCTCATTTTTCTAAAATATGGTGTCATGATTTATATTGATGGATGAAATGAAATGAATGGAGTTTTATGTCTTTTTATTTATATTGATGTGATCTTGGTCAAGTTTGAATTTTCGACAATTTCACTCTTAACAATTTTTTGCCCTATATATTAGAGATGTGTGCTTTAATAATTTGGTGTATTTGAGTTATTGATATTGATTTTGAAAATTTTTGTGGAATTACTCAGAATAAATAACAGGCAGTAAATGTATATCATTGTATTCAAACTATAAAAATTTCTTTAATATGAGAAAATTCGTACTTACTCACTAAAGACTGTTTTATCATTTCTGACTGCTGCCAGTGGGCGTATGTTACCTTGCCTGGCAAGCTACCTTTTGGTTTCCGAAGACCGATGAATTTCCTCATTAAGCGATAATGATATTAAACCCCTTGGAATATTGGTACAGTGAGTGTTTCCAGCCGACAGGCTATGATCAGTTTTTGATGTTTAATTCCTATAACAATTTAAAGAATAGATACTACGTCATTTTTCACAAGTACGTGTGGGTTTAGGATTTTATGTTGTAAAAATATTTAGATATTTGTTTATATATATTGTATGTTATTTTCATTCATTGTTCCATTAAATATTTTTATTTTATTGAATTATTACTTGAAAATGTTATAAATGTTTAGCCACTTCATAATTAATTTTAATTAACATGTTCAGCTATTGAAAGACGTAAAGGGTTAAAAAAAAGTATGTTTTTTAAATAAATAGTTTATGTAAAGTGTAAAGGAGGGCACACGAGCGGTCTTTGTTGGAGATTTTTGTCGCCGATAAGAGTCTTTAGAAAAATCTCGCGTATGCCCGTGCTTCCACGACAAGATTATCGTGTCCACGACAGGATTTATAATATCAAACAAGTTTGATAATTGTCTCTGATATTTTTATCGTCTGCAAGACGGACCGTCATCATCCAATCAGTTTCATTTTCCTTTCAATTGCATGCTCCGCACGTGATTATCGACAAGGTGGAAAACGACCGACTGGAGATTTTTGTCTCTTCGTGTGCCCGTGCCAGTTTTTGAAACTCAAGACAAGACTCTAATCGGCGACAAAAGTCTCCGACCAAGACTTCTCGTGTGCCCGCGTCTTAAGATAGGGCTGAACCAGACTTAACCATATTTTATCGAGAGTTGATAACTGACAAAGAAATTACCCCCCCCCCCCCCCCCCCTTGGAAATATTGTGGCCCCCTGCTCGGCCCCCTCTCCTAATGTTTCCTAAAAACGTCACTGCTCTGTTTAAGAAACTTTAAAGACCGCACAAATCTATTTGTCCCTAATTGGCCTATATGCCCACGTAATGAAAGATGTTACCACTTCAAACCTTAATTTGTATTTTGGGTTTTTTTTTTCATTTTACTTTTCATACAGATTCATTATTTAATTTCCCAATCACGCCCGATGATTTCAACTAAAAAGCTAATGTAAAGTTATTTAAAAGCTTTAAAAGCTCGATATTTTAAACTATCGATTGATGTTCCATTCAATGTACAAAGGGTGATCGAGCAGAACTATTTCAAAATTGATGACAGATCATAATATCATGATTAGAGACAAGGTGACTGCTTGGAATAAATTTACATTTTGGCTTGAACTTCTTTTAGATCCGAAGCAGTTCTGCTTCAAAAGATGGCCATAGTGGCACTATCCTGTTCAAATTTAATCTTATCGGATGCTAACATGATACGCCTACAAAGGTTCATGTTTCTTTAGCATCGGTACGTTATATCTAGATAATATTATACTACTGTTCATAACAAAGGCTATAAAACCCCAAAGCTTTCCTTGAGTCTACTCTTAGTAGCAATACATAAACATGATAGAATGGTAATGCAGTGAACACCGACAGTCGTATTGATAAGAGGCCAATGTTTATTTAGTAGTCACTGTTACGTGGAAGGAAGGTGTCTCCACGTTGGTCATGTATGAATGGTTATAGTCTTACTTTAGTAGAATATCGCTTATAAAACTCTCTCCACAACAGGAATGTAGTTTCTTTCAAGGACACACCTTATTGACTTTTACTAAAGTTTTATAAAAGCTTGTCAACACGAATGAAAGTTTATTTAGATCAATAAAGTTTTGTTATTCTATTTTTAATTACTTTTCTTTTACCACTTAGATTTCATAGTAAACTAAAAGGGAGAGGTTGTAACAAAGAAAAAGAAATTGAATAATCTATCATATACACCATTATGAAATCATTAATTTAGAAGTCCATAGGCTAAATAAAATCACGGAAAGTGAAACAATATGAAACACTAGGTCTTTTATTAAATGTCCGAAATGAACCATCTTCATAAAATGATAAGATTTTGTGACATCTGGTACTGCTCCAGCTGGCTGATATGGGTCATTCTCCCATAAGCGTACGAGTCGAAAGTCTGTTGGGAGAGGGGAAAGCAGGCTGCTTTGCCTGACATTTTCTCACGAATTTTGTATATCTTTCTTTGTTATCGGGTGGGTTGCCTACGGTGGCTCACATACGATATATTTCACTTTTTATTTTGAATTACAAACCTTTAGGTGATAATTCGTGTAATTTTGAATTAAAAACTTTAATTTCCACCTAGGTGAATATAATTTCCATCTAGGTGATAATTCAACGAATTTTGAATTAAAAACTTTTTAAATCCATAGGACCAGCCTCCATGGTGTAAAAACGGCGAAAAAAGATTTTAATTCAAAATTCTTAAATTAATGGAATACTACGTCTTAGAATATATATACAATTTAATAATATTTTATACTTGGCCAATAAGAGCATATATTTATCAGTAGATATGCCTGGAGTCATAAATAACATAACAGGACCCTTTTATAATCCGATAAATACAAAAAAAAATTAGTAATTATCCATAAAATAATATGCAATAAACTAATGAATCCAGTTGTAGCTTTATGACACCAGGTAAGTTCACTGATGAATATATAGCCTACTCATATTGACCATTCTTGAGAACTTAAATTTTATGTTCATTCTAAGACGTAGTATCACTTTAACACCTTGGTGTTCTTGTGCCCAACAAAACTCTCTCATTTATCGGTATACATGTAATAACCCATTTCAACAAGAATTGTTTTCACCAATCGGACCCGATCTGATCCAGATTGTCCTCGCTTAATCCTTCTTCATTCACTCGAAGAGTGAAATAGAAGAATATGCGAAAAAAAACTGAAAAAAAAGATTAACTGAAAAAATATGTTTTAATCTGTATTTTATTTTATCCCTTTAATCACAACATGTCATGTCCACCACGGATAGTCATTTCCATCACCCACTCTTTTCAGTGGAAAATAAAAGGCCCTTATTTGACATATATTTCTCTTGTTGCTAATAGGCTACATAAAGTAAATAAGTGTTCGTTCGTGCATATTTTGCAATCAAACGAATTCCATGGTGGCTGTAATGGCCTTTGGACCCAGAAATTTTTTTAGCCAGTGCTCGGCCTCTTACCTGATTTTTTCCTAGAAACGGTTTATAAACATGCTTTCTGTCTATCTGGGGAGAAGGGGGACCTAACAATATAATTCACACACTCACAGTTGAACAATCTTTCTTTCTTTCTATCTATATATATCTTTCTTTACATCTTAGAATATCTCTAGCTATATCTTTGCCCATAACTCTCATTGTAGGAATGACATTTATAGGCCCTAATTATGTATTTTTTTGGTCTGGAAATTCTTTCTGTTTAGAAAACGTGCTAGGTAAACTTTGCTTTAGATTAAAACATCAAAAAGTAATAGTCTCGAATAAAGATGTTAAGAGTCCCGTTCCAGTAAGATAACTAATTAATTAACTAATACAACACCGTAACAACAAACAACGGTGGATTTGACCGTAACAATGGCCGACGAATCATTCTCGTTTCTAATATAGAATATGAGGTTGATTCGATTCGTGGAGAACGTAACTTTCTATACCGTTTCTATTCCTATGGGTCGTAGAAGGTCATTTGCAATTGAAACAGGTATAGTATAATATGGGTAACCACGCGGGAAAGTAAGTTTTGCAAGGACATGAACTTTGGCCCGACCTTTTTAGATTTCCAACTTCCGAGGACTGCAGAATCAGCAGCACAGTGGACCGTGATAGATCGAAAATTATTGTAAAAAAATATTCATCTAAACGTCTAAAACTTTAATTTCTCCCGCGTCAACGATCAAAGAATAAGCGTTTCAAACCAACGTGGTGTTACAAAAAAAATCATAGTTTGTTACATCAGACCTACTCTGTTAATGAAGTCGTACAAGAACAAATCAGAGAGCTTGCAAGAGGAAGTCAATTAGTTGAGGTCGGTACAAAGTTTGAAGTCTTACGGGATTGGTCTTTACGATAGTGATCAATACGCATTACCTTTTCTCATGTTTGCATCCCTTAACCATTAATCATTACACAAAACCATATTCAACGTAAGACAGTTGTCAATTATCGCTATAGCATGTACCAATAAAATTATTAACTATGTTTACTCATATAAATGGTGCAGACTTTATTGAGACAAAGACAGTAAAGTGCATAATTTAGATGTGTCTGCAATTTAAAGTTAATCGGTTTGATATTTGTTTTTCTCTTATACAAAGTCTAAAACACGATGTTACTTTCAACAAATTTTTTCTTGAATTTGGTTTTTATACTGCAATTATACGGTAAGTTAAAGATTTTTATATCAATATTGTTTGTTCTTGTAATTTCATTCTATCTGCTTTACTGTACATGATGAATGACATTTGGTGCTTATCCTCCTCCTCATCTTCATAACTGATGACCATAGCAAAATAACTTTTTCCGGAAATTATTATATTGTACCTGAAATTACCAGTTATCGTTCAGGAAACATGGACGGACCATGGCTGTATAATGCTTTATTTCATTACACGGCTACAAATATTCTTCCTTTCGGGTAGTTGGAATTACATTTGTAAATTTATATCTTTACTTTCAGAATACAACTGTCAATTAAAAATTTTCACACCTGATGATGAGACATATGCTATGCCATTGTCAAATTACGGAATTGACATCACCAATGTAACAGACTTAAAATTTTCTGTTAAGGCATGTGCCAATTTACACGTGATAATTCAGAAAACACCAACGGTTGATTTGAACACAAATGGAAATTATGTCTTCGTGTTAGGGTCATATAATGGTGCGAATGTTGAAATTAAGCAAGCTGTGCACTGTGATAGTCTTACATGGCAATCAAATTCAGTTTTAAATTGTAGTGCATATGAATCTTTTTGGATCAGCTGGAAAGACGGTGATTTAAAAATAGGAAAAGGAACGGTTTTATTCGCTGATGAAATAATTGCATCTTCTGTTCTGCCTCTTGTTGATTATAAATATGCCTTTCTTCTGACCGGTTGGGGCAGTCAAGGATGCTGGAATGTGGGTAAGTCAATCTTAAAGGAATGCTACCTCTAACTGGACATAAAGTCGGAAATAAGTAAAAGGTATATTCATCAGATGGACTTGCCAAGTTCGAAGAATACAATTTCTAGATAAGACGAAAAATTAAACTTCGCTAAGGTCCCTTGGCGCATTAGCAATTCCTAACAATGAATGTGGCACTTCAACTCACGTATAACTTGAGAAACCCTGACATAGAGGATCTTAAACGAGTACATGTAATTTATGAAATTTGTTGCCGGACTAAGGCTAAGGAAATGGTTAATTTCATAAATTTCATATAACATAAGCACGAGTAAAAGATTCTATCACACAACTATCAATAAAAGCATATTTCCTAAAAGTCCTTGCACTTTTCTATATAGCGCCTTCATTTAGAGGTCAACCTTTTTACACCTTTTAACAAAATTGCGCGTAACAAGATCTTGTAATTATGTGATTACTTAAAGGGATACTGCGTCTTAGGATGAACATAAAATTTATAATTTTGCTCAAATTTGGCCAATAACAGTATATATCCATCAGTGGACTTGGTGTCCTAACTATACATCAAAATCCCTCTATAATCCGATATATCCACAAAATCAAGTAATTAATTATAAGACACTTAATACATCCATTAAGTGATTTTCAAATCGTGAGTCTAGGAAATCCGGTGTAATTTTCAAGGGGAAGTAACTCTCAAGTGGGGTATCCTGCGTCCTTGACCTCTACTCTTGTATTGACTTCGACATTGTCAGACATATAATGAAGACGGAATAATGATGCCTCGTAGGAGATTAAGCGACTCCACGAAAAAGCAATTCATATAATTTAGAGTGAACACTCCACCACTCACACAATTTTCAACGAATATTAATCATTGGCAAAGTTTATTTGTATACACTGGAAGATGATTTTTTCCTGTTTTAGCGTTGATTACCCAGACTCTTTTTTTCTCAAACTGAACGGACTTGTCGCTTGCTCACTTTTTATAAAAATTTTGATTATAGTTTTATTGTCGCTTTTTCAAAATTGATAAAGTATGGGATGCATACTTATTTAACCAATGGACACTATTAAACACACTTATTAGCCACAGGACGAGTGTATTCTAAGACGTAGTATCACTTTAACTGAAACTTTTAATCAAAATTATGTTATCATGCCCTTTATTTTCAATTCTAACTGAGTCTAACTTCAAAGAATGCCATGTTGGTTTGTTTACAAGATGCACGAATACTTGACCTAATTTACATAGTTATTTACCTGTGCTACGAGTTCACATCGTATTTTTTTATAGTGTGTCGGATAATATAACTGTTGTGTGATAAATGAAATGACTACTCTAGCCCCTGCTCCCTCTTCTGAAATTATTTATTGGCACATTCTTTTTATTTGTGTTTCTTTTTTTTTTTTGGACCTTATGTGCATGTTTCTTAAGCGTTACATGATATAATGAACATGGAGCCTGTATTTTCACCGATTTTCAGGGGGACTTGATATGACTATCTCGTGCTCACTGTAAAAAATTTTACACTTTTTAATTTTTTTCACTTTTAGGCTTTTGTTTTTAACAATTTTCGAACATTTTTCAACAATTTTCAGCATCCTAGGGCTAACGTATATAACCTTTAAATCTTTTATGGACCCCTTTATATAAATTGCTTTCGGATTTCATGACCAGAAACATTGAATACGTAATAGAGATTATAAGATCTTGGATGAGATATTTCTAGTACAATTTTGATAAACTTTTGTTGAAACCAAACATGTTCAAATCCATGAATACTATGTAAATGGCTTATGATATTGGCATACACTTTCAGCCCATGTTTGATGAATCTGTGTGTTTTTGTCAAACTCTCTTGCATCCTGTCTTTCGACTTACTGACCAAGATATTGAATTGAATTATTGGATTTTTTATACAGATATTGGAACCAGAATTATCAGTTATCGCACCAAGGTAGTAAACAATAACAAAATGATACAAGGAAGCGGAATTCAGACTTACACGGTGAACTCTAAACTGGAATGTCTTACAAGGTGTGTTTCTGATATGTTACTACCATGTGGTTGTAAACTCTTCAGCTTCAATAAAACAACCAAGCAGTGTATGGTGTCAGACATTTCAGCGACACAAATAGATCACCCTGATTGGAAAACGTGGCAACTATTGTAAGAAAAAAAATGTAGCATGATCAACGGACATGATTACTGACACAGAATATCGAATTTAATAAGTAAACAAAAAAATTGATTCAATTATGTGGATTCTACCCACCGTTTTCTACCGAAAGCCATAATATATATAAAGTATGAATATGGCTGTTAAAGGGACAAGTGTGCCATTTTTTGACCAATCGTACCTTAGTCTCAGAAACGGCCGTTTAGTCAAGCCGATCAGTAATAGTGTCCACCGCTCACCTTCAAATCCATGGGTGTCCAGAATTATCCGCGTATGAAAGTTAAAAAGACGGGATGGGATGTCTTTTCTTGACATACTGTCATATATAGAAAAGACATCTATAGAAATAGGAAAAGGTATTATATTTTCGTACATTTCTAGTACTCTGAAGGTTATCTACATATATGCAGGGCGCAAATTTTTCTTCCACCCACCCCAACCCCAAAAAGGCGCACCTTGATCCTGTAATAGACTCCCTAATTAAAGAAAGACAACGATAGAAGATATTTTACTTAAAAATAATTAAGAGCTATGTTCAGACATCCCTCGTTTTATTTTCATTTATTTTTTTTTGTTAATCATTGATGTCTTTACCTTTAAAGTTAGAGTTTTGAAGACACTCTTTCATTTTATGTTTTTTTTTTTGTTTTAATGTACAAGTGTGCTAGTCGATTGTGTTGATGATGACAATGTAGATTGTTGAAACGTTGTGTACAATAAAACCAAGGAGTAGTATACCATGAAATTGTGTTCCGTCTTTAATAGAGGCTACAGTTTTCATTTCATTTCATCTTAATGAGACTTTCTATGCAGATATAAAAAAATATAGAAGGAACAAAATAACTTGAGATCGACTATTATTAATCAAGAAGTTCATCAAAAAGATTTTAAGATGAATCGAGTTAACCATACAAAACTACGTATGGTTCTTACATAGAAATAACATGACTTGACTCCGTCGTGGAATTTACTTCTTTAGGTGTTTTGTCTTATGTTTATTTCGCAAATTGTGTTTTGTCGAATTTTGAACCGACGTCACAACGTACAAATGATGATTTATTATTCTCACATATTAACTCACATAGACGAAACGTTTTATCGACGTAGTTCTACAAGACCCGTTGTCCGGCGCAGAAGGTCCGCCATCCGTCGCGGCTACCTAACAAACAGGTAACCAAGACTAATACATAGCGAAAAAAGGAACATTTGTTTATTTGTACCAAAACATCAATGAAAAGGCAGAATTCTTGTAGTACAATACAAAAAAAATAATAGCTCTTATTCTATTGACAAAATACACATATATTTTGGGTATTAAGAAGACTTTTTTTTCATCAAGAAAAAATATCTATTGAATATGTGACGCATCACGCTGTTCAAACCGAATCACTTCTTTTAAAACTTCACAGCTCCATAGAATGAATTAAGCTAAATAACAACATCATGGTCAATAATAACAGTTTAGTACTGCTTAATTAGAGAAGTTATTTACTTTGATCAATCAAATCAATTCAATATGTTTTTTGAAGTGACATTTTGTAAATTATATTTCATTGTTTTGTATAACTTCCGCTCCACTACGCATGCCCACAGACCCGTCGCACGTCGCGAGGGTGCACCCGTTCCTGTAAAGTTAGCTTATAATATAAGAAATTTGTTAGGATTGTTAGCCTTATATTAAAACTAACAAATCTGTCGGTGAGGACGCCCGGACAAACAAATTGTTTTTTTAAAACCTAACAAGTTTTATGCTTCATCCATTCAAATTGTTTTTTCTATCGCGTCTTCTTCGCGACGTTGTATTTTCGGCATTTATGTAAAGCCAAATTAGACTAAGCCTACACGTTTTTCTTTTTGTGGATGTTGAGGGCCTACGTATAATGGCATACTAAAGGATGGCGTCAGCTAATTTGCAGGTTTGCCATTTGCCAAATAGCCAATATGGCCCAAATGTGACAGGTGGTTGTGCTTTCGTGCTTTGGTAATACTAACCTATTTCTATATTCACATCTTGCCGTTCATATTTAATTAAATTTACCACGTAACAAATTACTATTACATGTATTACTATTCATGGACAGTTTAAAGAAATTGTACTTAAGATTTTTCTGCCACCATGAATGGCATTGTCAATTTCAATGTTGTAAATAAGATTTGACAAATTTCTTTTTAGATTTCATACAGATAGCCTATGACTTTCTCATTTCAATAAGAAAAGATAATAGAAAAAAAAATATATATTTTTTTTCCAAACAAGATTACAGGGGTAAGTTGAAACGTCATCAATTCTTTATCAATCTAAAGTGATCAGAACACAGTCCTCACAAAAGAAATCAATATTTTTTTTATAGAGAACTTGTAAGCCATCACAAAAGGAGTGTGATTATTGATATAATGGTCTATTATTTCAATTATCTTGTTATTCATTATTATGATATAAAAACATTTTTATGTAAACTTATATTTATCTCGTAGATTTTCCCATGAACTATTTTTTGAGTTATTGCCCTTGATTATGCCAAAATAGTCTTGAAAGGCTGGTTTTGACTATAAAGGGTACATTGTACGTACAGCGTTAGTAGTAAGATTAAATTCCTGATTATTCGTAATCAATATTTTATTATAGTGAACAAGAAAATTTGAAAAACAAAGGATAGCCTAGTGTTGGTTTATTGGTTAGAGGATGGAACTTAATCAGAAGGTATTATTTACCTGATTACCATAAGACTGTGGTCAATTTACCTTGTGATCTATTTGCCATCACAAAGGTGAACAACCTGGTGACCATATTACTGTTACCCAGTTAACTTCTGGCCAATTTGACCATTCTTCTGAGAAAATTTAACTTGTGACCACATTAGTCTGAGTAATTTTCTATGTGGCCATTTTTCTCATGATGTTACCAATTGACTTTTTACTATTGTGACTCATCACAGAAATACATTATGACCATACTATTGTGACCAATTAACTTTCTGACCAAATTATGATGACCATACCATATCTAATGACTTTATTGATTTTACTGTTACCTATTAAGTAAAAAATTCCTGTCACAAGCGAGTGTGACAAACTAACTGTATGAACGAAATACCACGGTGTCAATTTGCCTTATGATTACTTTACAGTAATAACATTCCTTGAACAATTTTGAAAAATTCATCCTAGTTATAATTGTCTTATTTTAGAAATATTCAAACGGAACCAGACCCTTCTTTCAATACTTCTACTATTTTACTCTCGAAACCGAAATCTATATTTTACACGTATGATGTTTGTTTAAATATCTATGTTCAGATTATCGTTTTCTCACTATTTTATTTCAGGTATATTGTTTAAAAGAGGATGATGAAATTATTTTTTCTACCGAATGATTTGCTGAGATGAGTATGATGCAGTGCTTTCTTATTTTACATATTTATTTTTTAATATTATCTTTAAGTCAATGACAACGCAAAATATTGTATGTTTACTCAGCTGACTTTCCCCAATATATGTCCAATAATTCTTATCATTTATGAAATTATACATACATTGAAATAACACTCTCCCGTCCCGTTGTATTTCACAAACTTACTGTTCAAAAACTTTACTGATAATTAGCCTTTTAAATATATATGAAAGGATCTCTGCATCATTTACATTTTGTTGACCTATCCAAGGCGCGCGAGGCTAATTCTATTTTGGTATAATGCCAATTACCATCAACTTTGATTTTAAAAGCAGTCCTCTTGAACGGGTTTGATTGTCTCTTTTGAAACGTGGCCATTTTAAGCTTCCATTTCTAGTTTTTTAATGCTGATTCCTAAATTTTACTTAGTATCTATAATAAGTAGCAGCATGGCGCTTTATTACATCAAATATAGACTTTTCTTGCCCCAAATTCCTAAAGATGTAAAAAGAAATATAAGAATAAAATAAAGACCCAAGTTGAAAATAACAAATTACAACAACTCGGATTAACAGAAAATTTACAAACTCTATTTCAACCAATATTAAAAACTCAAGAGGATATTAAAAAGAAATTAGCTAACGTTAATCCTTCTCGTATAGAAGCTAAAGTTAATCCTTATCATATAGAATATCCACCTATTGATTATAGTGAAATTATAATAAGGACATTAGATGATATAAAACATCATTTTTCAAATCCAGATCCAAACTTACCTAAAACAATTAAATCAACAATTGATGAGGATGGATAACTTCTTAACGGTTTTAGGCTTCGTTTCAATAAAGACAACCTAACATTTAAATTGACACAAAAGAAGGTGTATATAATTTATCAACTGGTGTAATTAATCTTATGAATGGACATGATGAAGAAGGTTATAGTCCTAACGATTTAAAGTCATACGTACAAATTCTTACATCGATTAGAAGAGGTGCAAAAACATCAAGATTAAAAAGCAAGGAAGAAGAATTAGAAGATGACGACAGTAGTGATGTCGACTATGATGATACTGACTACAGTGATGATAATTACAATGATGGTAATTTAAGTTATAATAATATTACAAAGGAAATCGATGACTTTTTAGAACATACAGGAGAAGGTATAATCTTTTTATCCGACAACAACGAGGAGATACTTAATAGATTACAAATAATATTAGCAGCAATGAAAGAAGTCATCGATCGCACAGACAATATAATGAAGTAAATTGTATATTAAAAAGACTCCTTGAGAAAGGTATCATAGATAAAAAATGATTATTAAAATGTTACAAAAAAATGGGAAATAAAGAACAATTATTCGTTATAACCTCAAATAAATCAGACATTAAAATATCTCTAGATTATGAGTGTGAACTCGATCGCAATCAAGAATATGAATTGGGATCAAAGTATTTCTCTGTTTACAGTTCCATTAGAAATATCAACGAAAATAATAACCAAATAAAAATATCAAAAGATAATGGAGTTAATCGAAGATAACTTTCTACAGTTATTTTATCATTAGAGTAGCCCTTAAAGGATTTCTTTTCTTTTAAAACACCATCAGAAGTCAAAATGATATTATATTTAACTTTTGGCGCTAAATATAAACTATATATATAATTCCACCATCACGATAATCATTCTTTCCTTAATCATTTTCAATTAATCTTTAATTTCTTACAATAATCATTTCAGATACCAATCCAGCTTCTTTAATGTATCCCAATTTTTAGATGAAATGTACAAGCTGTCACTATCTGTATAGTATACCTCTGGCTTATAAAATCCATCTATCACATGAATGAAATTATCCAGTATTTTTTTACTATGAGATAACACAAAGGATCCTAAATGACTATAGGTTTTAGTCGTGTAAATTTATGAGGAGTTGTTTCAAATTCTTTTTCTTTTTCACCTATCTCAACGATATATTGAGTGTCATTTACCTTAGGATAGCTTTTGATGAGTGAATCGAAATTTTTTTAAAGTTGCTTCACTCCATAGATGCCTGGTTGTGGTTATGTCTTTCTGAATTGATTTACCATACAAGGAGTTGCCTAATAATTCCATGCAAGTACTACCCTTCTTTTTTATACTGATTTCTTAGATCTCCCAAAATTAAAATATAATCTCTATAAGGTGGTGTTTTGAAGTTTTCTTCATAGACTATTCCATCTAATATCCTGAGTATTTTACCGCCAGCTTTAACTATTTCTTGAATGTCTACGTAACTATGTTAAAACATCTGTACAGAGCCCATTTCTAACCCTGATTTTAATACCAGTTTAATATCCTGAGTATTTTACCGCCAGCTTTAACATTTTCTTGAATGTCTACGTAACTATGTTAAAACATCTGTACAGAGCCCATTTCTAACCCTGATTTTAATACCAGTTTAATATCCTGAGTATTTTACCGCCAGCTTTAACTATTTCTTGAATGTCTACGTAACTATGTTAAAACATCTGTACAGAGCCCATTTCTAAACCTGATTTTAATACCAGTTTCCCTACCGCCTTCTCTGTTCGCAAAAGTTATTTTATATCTTTAGCTGTATGGGTTGAAAGAACATGTTTTTAGGATATTCAAACCGAACCTTTAAAATAGCCGTTCTAGGTCTGAATTTTTGTTCATTAAATAGCTTAACAAATTCATCATGTTCATCGGGTAGAAATTGTCTTCTGCTTTAGGATATTCGCTGTCTAAATCTGACATGGCAGAGGCATACAAACCATTAGCATCAAACGCCATTGGTTTTGTGCATTTAACTTCTGTTTTATCTTTTGTGCTTGCGTTGTATTCTTGAAGTAAATCAATTACATTATCAATCTCGAGCTCAGTATATTCCTTTAATATATTACAAATTTCATCCATTTTATCTGTTGTAAATGATTTTTTGTTAGCAGAAACTCTTCCGCCTTTATGTCTTATAAAGGGATGTGTGTGTGAATAAACCTTTTCTATATTTATCTTTTCAGGGCGATCTGCAGTAGGCATAGTAGTTTCAAGAATCTTACGGTCGTAATTATATAAACACTACCAACCCATCAGAGAGCGGGAGCTGTAAGATTATTGGAAAGATTCTGGAACACAACTTCTTTCATAACTTTGTTATATTTTATCAAACAAGCTCCTAAACATAGGGTGTCTCTTTTGGCATATGACTCCCACTCTTAATACTTCAGTATACTCAGTATAAAAAAGAAGGGTAGTACTTGCATGGAATTATTAGGCAACTCCTTGTATGGTAAATCAAGTTGTCCTTGGTGATTTTTTTAATCTCGAAGTCAGTTATTTTTCTTTTATTCATGGGTAAATTAGATGAATTACCGCTAAACTAGATTTTTCATGTTGGTAGGAACACGTTAAATTAATATTTTGTAAATAATTAGAGCTTTCAGGTATTTTTTTCTGTTTTTCTCATTTTTCTGTTTTGATGTCTTTTCTCATTTTCCTGTCTTATCCACTTTTTCTGAAAATCGACGTTAGTGTGTGGGTTAGTTACAGGAAGAGGTAGAATCCCTCTGGGTGGTATTAGTGGACATTGTGATAATTTTTTGACGTTTTTAAGGACTATCCAGTTGTCGAAGCCATTCCTTTTATGAGAAATTAAGGTTAATCTTTTTTATCTACTTGTCCTAAGGGTTGCAACATTTGATCAATACAATCTGTTCCTACAAATAATTCTATTATATTAGCCATGAGTTTGTTGTGAAACATTTCTGGAATGGGATCTGTCGGCTTTAAATCTGGAAAGGAATGATTTACATCATCCAATATTTTTCTCAGTTTTTCCAAATTGACTAAGGTTTTCTCTTCGCAATATGTTTCACAATCCCAGGCGTATAAACAATCATCATGCATGAAGATTTGGAAAAGCATTTAGTTTTAGAGGTGAAACTTGTGTTGCTGTGTTTTCATCTCTACAGGTTCTCCATTCTTCTTCATAATTATCTTCTATTTCTATAATAGCTGATCTTTTATTATTTCTTCTTATGAGACAGAAATGTTCTTTATGTAAGTAAAACACCCAATCTATTTCTTCTGATACCTTTCTTAGGTGAAGATGCCAATCTTTCGTGCTATAGATTTGAAAATCTGTTTTAAATTCCTTATTGAAAGCAATAATTCTAGCGCCTGTCATCACTCCTTTTATATCTGCTTTTGGAAAGTTGTTGATAAATTCTTCAAATTTTGCTGTTAAGTTTTTGTTCAAAACACGATTTACACACTATTTATGAAGCAATGTCCATTGGTTGGTATGTAGCAATTTTCACCTAAATATTTATTTTTTTAAGTAGACTTGTCCCACTGCCTTTCATTGATATTTTTATTTTTTTGAAATTGTCTCTAAGTACAATTATTTTTCCCATGAAATACCAATCAGAAGCGCCAGATTTTTCAGCCGCGATTGCAAAGAATGTATGATAAGCTTTGGCATTTCAGGCCACGTATTTCATTTCGCGGCTCAAATCTTCAAGATTATATACCTCTCCATCGAGCTCTATATGTCCTCTAAATGTTATAAATTTATTAGAAATGGCCTTAATAACATTGGAAAATAGCACATTTGTTATGAATGTCTGGTCTTGTATAATTTCGATTTTATTTTTAAATATCTATTTTGTCTTTATAATGACAGATGACATCTGTCTAATATAGTGTTTTAGTTTTTCTTTTAGTTCATTTTGTTTTTCTATCATGTAGTTTTGTCTGCTTTCCATTTTTAAGACATTACATTGAATGAATTTCTGATGAACGAAAAGTTTTAAATTTTTTAATATCTAAAATAGGTTCCCCAATAAGATCTCCACCACGCAGTTGTCTTTCATTATCTGTTATAATTATTTCAGGTTTAAAAATAAAAACTTCTATAGTTACTAACGATGTTTGTTCTATCGAATCATTAATCTTCTCCAATATCATATCAAAATCTCTCAATCCAATTGGAGTATCATTTTCTTTATCTGGTATGATTAACATTAATAGGGTATCTATATATTTTCCACTCGTTTTAATTTCATACAAGTAATTAACTTTGTTGTTTTCTAATTCTTTAGTTTCTACATATTCATCAATAATTGATAAATTGAAGAACTTTACGGTGGTTAATAATTGATTAGATGAAGAGGTATGTGACAAGAATATTGAATTGATTTTTACCTTCATAGGAAAAATAATTTCAATTAAAGCTTTTCTTAGGAAAGAAAACGATTCTTTAAAACCGTTATCAAATACGTTTTTATGGTCTCCAACTGCTACATGAGGAGAAAATACTCTTAAAGTTGCTGTAAATCCATATTTTTTCAATATATTATATTTTTGATTTATCAATATGATCATAATTAATAATATCTTCATCACTCAACTTTCTAAATGGAAGATTGAAATAATATGATTTATTTTCTTCCTCGAGATTCTTTCCTAATGCGGCTATATTTTTTTCCTGATTTAAAACCTCGTTATTGATAGTGGTTATCTGTTATCGAATAACACTATCATCAATATTTTGTATTTGTTGTTGAATATAGGTTTTGATTTCGCTATCATCAATATTTTGTATTAGTTGTTGAATATAGGTTTTAATTTCGCTATCATCAATGTTCTGTATTTTTTGTTTAATATTTGTTAGTTCTTTTTGTAATTCATAGTTTCCAGATCATTTAATTCCTGTTGAAATGTATCTTCATTTTCACCTGGAATGTTATCTATTAATTGTTGAATATCTAATTTTTGTTTTGCAATCTTATCATCTAATTTAGATATTAATGAAATTAAATTTTTGAGTTTTGTTCACTACATTGACCAATTGTTTTTGAATAAAACTTATTAAATCTGATACCTCTTGCTGTAGTTAAGTATCATTAATAAAATTGTTATTATTTAGTTGACGTTTGAAGAATCTTTTCACATTACTTATTTTATCTTCTAAATGGTTTTTATTTACTTCAATTAAATTTTTTTGATACCTTATATATTTCTTGTGAACAACATCATTATCATTTTCTGGAGACTTTACATTAGTTACTTTGAAATCGTTCATACCTAAATCACCTTGTAGAGTGTCTCCGATTTGATCTACAAAATAAGGTTTTGCTTTATTCATCCATGCTTTATAGTGTTAGTTTTTTTATTAGCTAAAGATTAAGAACCTAGGCTAGTTAAAATTTGTTCGCCATTTTTATTAAGTTAAATTAAACTGTTTTCCCGAGCTTAACCCAA